CTTCCCAGGAGCTCGGTGTGGTGTGTCTCTGGAGCTATGATAGCTGTGTACAAAAATGAACACTGAACAACCATGTCATCCAGTCGGCTGCTAATCCCCCACCCAAAATCAGCATCCATATAAAAGGCTGTGTTTGTCTGGAAAGTGGTCCTCATAATGCTGCAAAAACATGTCCACACACACATAGAAACCTTCCTAACGGGTCTGTACAGATGTTAGCAGAGGTGAGGATGTAAAGTGCTGAGTGTACCTGTGCAGACTCTGTACTGCTCTGGGCGGTGATGGAGATAAATGGCTTGGAGGCTGTGGAGCAGGTGGAGGTTCGTGGAGGTACTGGTGGAGGGGTTTTCTTATAGGTGGTGATACACGATGAAACTACAGAAAACAAGAAACAGGGAGAGAAAATCCACACAGTTTACTGCACATGTTCAAAAAATAAACTGTTATTTTGAGAAGTTTCATGTTTTTAACACCAAATGACACTTTTACCAAACAAAAACTACTGAGTAGTTTACTTATGCTGTAATTCACCCATTGTTGTTTAAAGAAAATACTCTGGTCTGTTCTTTCAATTCTGTTCATCACAGCTGTAAGTTTTAGGTTTATTTTGTTTCTTTTTTAGCAATAATTCTGTGTTTAAAGAGTGTTGTAGTAAGTCTACCTACACAAAACTACACACACTTACAATGTGATTACCATGTTTTATCATCTACATAGTTTTATGTCTAAAGTTTCTATACATCACCCCTGCAAACACAGAAACTAGGGAAAACCTTGGACAGGAAGAGAATGACCTGAAAAACAAAAAAGAATGTCCACGGAGACATGAAAAAAGGATGCCAGGGGGCCGTGAAAAGACTGAACAGTCTCATGGAGGGACATGAAAAAAGACAAAACATATCAGAGTAAGTATATTGATAGATTTTAACAAGGATGGGGTTGATTATGTTTTTCCAGGCACATAGTTTAATTCTGAACCACAATCCAGTCACTATCTTACCATCAGTTGTCAAACAGCTGTTTATATCAATAATAAATTGGATTTTGCATCATAGTTTATCCAAACGTCTTCAAATCAGCCTCTGTCTCTTTAAGAACCTCCTACCATTTCTGACACTCCCACTTCAGCACGTCGTCACAACAAGGCTTCGGGGGAGTTGTGCTCTGTGGGGAGGAGCTCGGCTGCAGACTGATCTTGAGGGAGGAGCTTAGTGCAAATAGGCGGAGCTTTGTAGCCGCAAGTGTTCAGTAGGGTTGGGCAATATTGGCAAATAAATTAATCACGATTAATTGTGGTATTTAGCCGATAACGATTAATTTGACGATTAATCCCCCGGAGTCCCTGGACACCCTCATGTCCTAGTCACATGACCAATTTATAGGGAGAAAATTTGCTCTTCGTAAAAATCTGTTCCAATTTGTGTCAAAATTACAGACTTCAGGCTATACATCAATCTTTAAATTGTGCTGATAGATAAATAAATTACACAACTTTTTTAAATGTTTGTTATATTTGAAGCAGAGAGGAGCACCAAGCGGTGAGTCTGCCGGGTGGCATTAATCGTATTAATCGTCAAGTGCCAAAAATTAATTGATTAATGTTTTTCTGACGATTATTTGCACACGATACAATTATGCCCAACCCTAGTGTTCAGGCGGCTCCACATGGCTACCAGGAGATTCAAGGATTTCTTAAACATGCACAAGTGAGTCAAAGCAACACTGAGTATGTTTTTGATGAGGGAATCACATTAAAGCATGATATAAATCTCAAAAATAGAATTTTGCATAACACTGCCCTCAAATACATTTTAACAGTGACGTTTTTGTTAAGTCAAATACATGAATAGTATAAAAGTTATAAAACAGAAGTAATGTTTGACATCAGTGCTCAAGAAGAAGCTTCAAATTCAAGGCTGATTTTTTTTCTTGAACCACTGTGTCAAAACTTGTTTTAGTGTAAAAACATGACTGATGACATCTGAAACAGTCACTTTGGTCTCATAAGTCATGAGTTATGTGACCAGTTCAAACCGGACTGTTTGGTCACACCAGATGTTTCATGCATGAGCACATCCTCTGTACCCCAGCATGACTTATCCCACATGTACAGACATTAATCAACCAGTATTTACAAAAAAATAAAAAAAATCACACAAACCTCAGTTACACTGATCGTATCATCATCATCATCACATCGATCTACAAACTTCTGTTTCCCTCTGAAACAAACCTTTAAAGGGGCAATATCATGTAAAATCAACTTTTTTGAGTTTTATATGTTATAATGTTATACTCTCATAAAAAAAACATGTCCAAAGCCTTGCTTTGACTCATTCATGCATGTTTGATAAATTCTGCAGCGTTTTTAGGAAGCCATGCTGAGGAGCAAAACGACAGGTGGGGACCAGAAACTCTTTTTGGGACCGGGAACTCCCCTGGGACGTGTCTTTAAGCTGAACTTCCTCATCACAGAGCACACCTCCCCACCCCCAACACCCCGCCCATGACTCCTGCAGGCTCTCGGCAGTAACAGATCAAAGTGAAAGTGAAACTTAAACTGTCTGCTGCTCTTAACACAACTTCTCACTCATTGAAGCTCTTTTCAGATTCAAAATACCTTTGAGGAAATGTATTTTCAGATGCCAAGTAAACTGCATCATAGCAGCTCCCCCCCGCCACCGAAAAGGGCGAGACAGAAGCAGAAGGTGGTTCTTAAAGAGACAGAGGCCGATTTCAATGCATTTAGAAGAGGAAGTGATGAGAAGATAAGTTTATTTTCTATTTAAACATAAAAACAGCATTTTAATAACAGCTGAAGGTGACATAGATACTTTATTAATGTATGGTATTTAAATATATGCCTGAGAAACACATAATATTGCCCCTTTAAATGAATGAACTTGTTTTCAGTAAAGTTCATGAAGCGGGTTGGAACTGGTTGTTTCACTACAAAACAAGCTGATGTCCAAAAATAAAAAGAAGCAGAATCATTACAGTGTGAATGTTGACTCACAGTTTACACATAAATAAGAAACTAATCAATCAAACAGGTAAATACCAAATAAATAAATTAATAAATTAAATAAAAAAACAGGACTGCACCAAACACACAAATCTGTCAGAGGATGAGTGAAACTGAGGAGGGTTAATCTGGCCTACAGGGGGGGTTCGGACAAACCACCCGCATTGCCTGCAAGGGTCCGGTTGTATTAGCCATTTTCAGTACACGTGACACACAAGAGTCAGACTTTAACAGAACATCCTTCCATCTAACACCCCCGCACACAGAGAACCTGTGCTGAGCAGCGCATCATTAAAAAGAATCCAACACAGACACAACTCCAGAGCAGAGTTTCTACTTGTTGATCACACAGGCGATGCTTCTCGTGGGTGAAAAAACAAAAATGATGCCCTGTCCTCACGAGGACGGTCTGAGCAGAGCATTACATGAAACCAAGCAATCGTATGGGCTCGATGTAAAGGGATAACCCCACCATTTTAAAGTGGACTTCAGTATAAAAGCTTTGAATGTTCCACTTTCGTGTCAAAATTGAAAACAAAGACCTGGGTAAGTATTTATCAAACTTCTCACATACTGCTGTGAAGAACGAACATAAGTGTAAAAAATAATTGTCTCAAAGCTGAGCTTAAAATTCAGTTATCAAACGTCAGAGTCTGAGTTTAAGTAAAGTGTAGGATTAAATCTGAAGAGTCGGTCGGAGCTGATTTTTTTTTGCTGATCCTGGTGGAAATGTTTAGAAAACTCCAGGCAAGAACTAATCACTTTATCAGGTTTCATTTTCAAAAATATTCTCAGAAAAATGTCAAAATTTTAATATAAGTTCAAGTTCAACACAACAATGTTTTTATTGTTTTTAATAAGAAAGTCTGAAATAATCCTTAGTAAATGAAAGATAAACAGTTTGTTCCACCATTTGTTTGTTGATAAGTCAGAAACAAGTGGGGAGCTGATTTAAAGGGTGAGTTTGATGATGTGATCACAAATGGAGAGAGCAGGAAACACTAACACACTCTGAGTTAGTTAAAGAAAAAATAAAAGGAAAGTTCAGTCTCACATTAACAAGTGCAGACAAGATGACAATCTGAGAGGGCATCTTCAGAGAGGACCTTTGAGACTGCATCATGTAGCCTGCATTCACTCACCTTCTGACTGGAAAAAAATGCTCTAATGTTCAAAAATATTTGCCTTTAATTTTAATGTTATAGTCAGACTGATGGTATATGTACATAGGTACCTGGGCTACATTTAAACCATAGAGTGTCTCTGGTTTGATTCTTTGTTCCTCCTGTTGTTTTTTTTTTTTTTTTTTTTT